GTCTGTTCCCATTAAGTTTGGGGCCCAAACCACTGCCAGGGATTCTCTAGGGAATAGCTGCAATTACCTCATTGAGGGTTTGCCCCGGGGGACAGGCTCACAGCTGACTGTTTGCTTCTGAATAAAGGACTACTGGTAGACAGGACTGGACTCAGGGACAGAGGGCTCCCTCTAGTGACTGACAAGGGCCACACACCATTTTCGGTCAAAGAAGGTCTGTCTGGGACACCCCAGCCCCATCCTGGCAGAGAAGACTTGGGTCTTGTTTCCTGTGGTGGAAGCACTTCATCTTCAGAAACTCCTGTGTCCCAGATCCACCACCATCCCGCCAGTATCCTTGGGCTCCTTTTCAGCCTTAGGGCCTACCAACTCCTCTGGGATGTCCCTGGCCTTTGCCACCTCTCTCTCTCAATGTCAAGTTGGGGGGCCCTTCCAGAGCAGTTGGCCTAGGACCCACCCTGGCCACACACCCTGAAGGCCACTCAAATCTCCTGGACCCATTTCACATGAACAAAGGATTCTGGGACTAAGGTGACCCTGGTGAACAGCTGGCTCTGGTGATGTACATTCGGCGGCCAAGTGACAGTCCAGACTTGGAATTCACCGCCAGCCATGAAAAGCACTGCAAAGCAACTTTTTGCAAAAATGGTGATTTATGCGCTCATACATGTGATGGGTAGACAAGTAGCAAGATGAGCTGGCCTCAGATCAGTTGTGTCCAGGTGCCCCCAGGCCATGTTCTTGGGAAGCTTGTCTTACCCACTTCCTGAGTAAGCTGGGAGTTGATTGGCCAGGCCAGGGTCCCATTCCCACCCGGAGGGAGGGCGGCTTCTCAAAATCCTCCAGGCCTGGGGGAATTTCTGCTGGAGATAGAATTGAGGCCAGGCAGGCAGATGCCCGGATGCCCACCCCAGGCCATACAAGTGGTCCTGGTGAAGACAGGTAGGACCAGAGGACCCAGTGCCAGGCCCAACATCCCAGTGTCAATGTGAGGCTGGGCCCCACCACACCCAGGCCTGCTTGTCTAGAGCTGTGATGATGGGCACGCCATGCTGGCTTCTCACGCCTGTTTGGAGGAGACCTGCCGGACCAGGATAGTTGTGGGCATGCCAGGGATGTGGACGGGGGACAGGGATGACTGTACTCGGGGCAGCTAAGAGCCCGGGAGCTGTGCGGGTGTCTTGAGAGGCAGTCATGGCTTCAGCCGGGCCCAGAGCTCTGGGCAGGAGTGCGGAGAAACAGAACACGTTAGTTTCCCATCTTCATCTCAGTCCATGCTGGGGTGGCAGTCCTGGGGCTGGGTGAGGGGCTGAGCTGGAGGGTCAGAGGGTCCAGGTGTGAATCTGAGCACTTTCAATGACCCTGGGACCACTGTCTCACCACTTGGAGTCTTCATTTTCTCACTGGGAAATGGAAATGTGTCGAAGGTTCTTGCGAGTGGACAAGCAGATAGTTACGACAGACAATGCTGTGGACAGGTAGGGGTAGAAGGCTCTGAGCTGGAGAAGCTGGGGAGCAATTCTGGGCTGTGGTGCAGGGGAGGCACGTTGGCTGAGGGCAAGCCGTGAGTATTGGTATGGCTGCAGTGCAGAGGGGCAGTGTCCAGAGCAGAGGATGTGACCAAGGAGTGGGCCCAGGGCTGAGAGGCAACAAAGCGGGACACAATAGCCCATGATGTCATCAGACCAACACCCATCCTATAGGATCCCTCCCCGCTCTCACGCCCAGAGTTAAGCCTAAATTAAGCCAGAGTTCAGTGCTCAGCAATTGTGGAGACTAAGCTTGGGGGGGCTCCAGTGAATGGTGCCTCACTCCCTGATTACTCAAAAACTGATTCATCAAGTGTGTAGTCAGAGCTCACAGACGCTATGTGTGAGCTCCACGTCTTCTCGACTCTGGGGGCCAGAGTGAGACCACCAGATGACCCGCCCAGCTGAAGCTGGCCTCCACTGGACTTGTAAGGCAGGGCTTCTGTGAGCCACCGGAATCAGGCATGTTTTGCCACACAGCAATCACTGCTGGGCACAAACCACACCAATATCCACCACAGCTGCTCATCCACAAGCCCAGCTGCTCACAGGGGAAACCTCGGTGGAATGAGTGCTTGGTGCGGGTCTTCTAACCAGTCACTGTAACTCCCACCAAACGACTGGGTGGGATCATCCGGATGAGGTGTGAGACTCTGACAAGTTTCGCCATACGGCCAGTATAGAGCGAGCCATCCCAGAAGCAGCATCAGAGATCCCATGGCCGGCGAGAAAGTAGAAGCAGGAGGGTCTGAGATTCCAGCATGGAAATACGGCAGAGGGGCGGCACAGAGACCAGGAGATGGCCAGGGGGAATCAACGGGTGTCCCTTGGACCTTCAGCAGCACTAAAGGAGCTTTGAAGCACTTGCCTGTGCGGGGCAGAAGCGCATGGGCCAGAGGGAGCCGCGTCTGCCGGCATGGCTAAGAGGCACTGCAGAGAGCAGGACTGTGTCCTTCCTGTTTTCTGATCCTGACGTGTAACCTGGTCACTTCCGGAATCACGCGTATTTTGAGTTGTGTGTGGCGACTACAAGAGACGATGGAACTCGGCAGAGAAGCAGTGCCACGACAGGTTCAAGAAGGCTGGAGAGTGGAGACCCAGCTGACCGCTGCCCCACAGCAATCAACCTTGGGCAGATGTGGAGCTGGACTCTCCTTGTGTAGCCAGAAGTCAGGGGTGGCTTCCTCTGCCTCCTCAAAAGCACAACCTGAGAGCGGGAGGTGCTTGCCCAGCACCACACAGTGGCAGCCAGGTTTTGTCTCCCAGCCTTGGGTCATGTTATTAGGAGAGACCAGTCCCTGGAGAAGGACATCCCGTTTTGGTCCAGCAGATGGTCAGTGAAGAGGAAGAACCTCAACGAGGTGGACTGACAGTGGCTGCAACAGCAATGGGCTCAAACAGCCTCCAATTGAGGATGGCAGTGCAGGGCTGGGCACACAGGGCTGCCACCAGTGGGAACCCACCTGAGGGCACCTAGGGACACACCTGTGGGTGGAATCCTGGTGGGCCAGGGGGTTTTCTTGGTTCTGAGGCCAGAGCACTGTAAGCTAGTCTCTCCTAAGCTATGAAAGGGGACTAGATGTTGGCAGAACAGGGAAAAGAGGCACCAGCGGGGGGGCTGCCTACCAGCCAAGGACGGAGACCACAAGGCCATGAGCCTGGCCAGGCTGTCTAGCCTCAGGAAGCAGCATCGAGGCGTTCTGTCTCAAAGACCCGAGGCTTGCGATTGAGGTCACAGCAGCACTGGATTCCGGCCCTGGGCAAGTGCTGCCCCCTGCCTGGCTGAGGACTCCGTGTGTGGATAACGGCCAGACTGTGGCAGGATGGGGGAACGTGGGCTCCCCTCTTAGTCCTGGGGGACAGGAGAGGATCTGGGACCAGGACAGGCCCATGTGCAGAAGTGAGGTAAGGAGAGAGGTTGGGAGGTCGAACTGGGATGCTGGCATGAAGGTCTCCTGCCATCTCCCATGGCAACAGTGTCCCCACAATGCCCGCAGAGTCGGCATGGTTATGCAAGCGAGGGTGGGGGTGGGTGGGTTAGTCCAGAGTCGGGAGGCCCCAGCCCTGATCCAGTACTGACCTGGTGGGGGAGGCCAGGCACCTCCAATCTCTCCTGGAATCAGGCTGAGGAGGGTGGGGGTGGTTCCTGGGGGCTGGAATAAAACAGGGCAGGGCCTATCAGGAACCCCTGGGCAGGATGTGGGGCTCCCGCTGGTCCCCAGAGCTGCAGCAGAGCATTTGGGTATTCTTGGTACACGTGACCAGTACTGTCTTTGGGAACCCCCGGAGGCCCGTGGACATTCAGAGAGGAGGTGTGAGGGGGCACCCCGATGTTGTGTATTTGCAACAGCCAACACGAGTAGACACTAAAGTCCCAGCAGGGCCATGAGCGACAGGAACACCAGGCTGAGGCCGGGCTGTGCGAGGACACAGACACTTGCCATGCTGTCCCCGGACCTTCCCCAGAGCTGCCTGAAGCCAAGGCTCTGGTGCAAGGGACCTAATGGTGGCGGGAAGGTGGCTCACCTCCCTTTCGGTTATCCCCGAGGGCACCGCGCTTTCTCAGGTCTCAAGTATCAGACCAGCAACACAGGGACTTTACCACCTGAGGCCTGGCGGGGAGTGGGGCGGGGGGGGGGCAGCCTACGGTGCCCGCACGTGGGTCCTGATGCTCTGGTGCATCCAGATGGGTGTTTATTTGGTCAGTCAGTGTGCCAACAGCGACTCCTGCAGAACTCTCCCACCAAGGCCTGGGGCGCCTTTTGTTTCCAGACAGACCCAGGCCTGCCCCACTGCACCCGCAGCCCGACCGCTGCAGCCTGTCCCAGTCACACCCAGTTCCCCCACGCTCCTCCACCAAGCTGGCTTGTCCGGCTCTGTCCTCACCGTTCCGCCTGAAACCCAGTCCCCGTCGGCTCCCCATCTGTCTCATCCAGGCCTCTGCTCACCTGCCTCTTCTTAGAGGCCTCCACCCCAACCCCATGCTCATCCTTCGCCGACTGTGGGGCTTTTGGTGGTCACGTGTTCACCGGATGTCACTCTTCTCCCCCGCCCCTCGTGCGCACTGCCCTGAGCCCCAGGTCCCCAGTGCCCCGCCAGGGCTCGGTCCAGGACGGAGCTCAGTTCCGGGTACCAAGAGACCAGACTCTCCCATGACAGACACCAAAGGCCAGAGATCGGGAAGGGCAGCTCCTGGTCGATGGTCCTGACGGCGAGGCGGTGGTGCCTGGGACTACCTGTGACCCTGGGCAGCGGAGGCGTTCATGTGGTCCCGGATGTTGATGGCCTGTCTGAGCAGTCCCTCGACGCTGTGGAAGTGGACGCTGCTGTCCACCAGGTTCTTCACGGCGCTGAAACGGGAGAGGGCGGAGTCAGGCGGCGTCTGTGTTCCACTACGAGCCTAAGATGGGCGGCTGAAGCCACCTGGCAGCTCCCTGGAACAAAGGCCCGGCGATCAGCTTCCAGACAGATCACGACTGGGGAAACTGAGGGAGCACTTTGAGACTGGAACGCGTGAGGGGCTGAGTCGGAATCAATCCCATGGCAATGGGTTTGAGGGTACGCTTCGCTTTGTTCTGGAGGGGGTGGAAACAAGATGCCCTGAATGGTGGAAGGGGTTCATGTGCTTGGTTGCTTAACCAGGAGGTCAGAGGTTCGAGTCCCCGCCCCCCACCAAGAAGTGCCACAGAAGAAAGGCCTGGAGACTGCTTCTGAGAAACCAGCCGGGGAAACGGACTGCAGCACAGCGCGACGCTGAGTGCCGGCAGCACCATGACCAGACTCACCACCCCGGCAACTGGTCGCTAACAGCACAAGACCACGCCCATCGATCTATCGATTGTGGCTTCAGGACCTGCTGGCCTGGCCAGAGACCACGGGGTGGGGTCGGCTCAAAGGCTTTAAGGCCCTAGTGGAAGAACCCCATGCTTCTGGTGCTGGTGCTGGGCGGCTCTGCCTCACTCGCCTGCCTTGTGCAGTCAGCTTTCCCAGCATTCCAGTCCCTTCTTCGGTCTAAAGAGCCCTGGGGGCGTCGGGCCGTTAACCGCCATGGTCAGCAGTTCGCAACTCTCAGCCGCTCCTCAGGAGAGAGATGAGGCTTCCTACTCCCATAGAATTGCAGTCTTATCCCCTTGAGGTGCCAACTTCTTGCACCCAGGGGTCTACCCACACCAGCCAGGTTTGGAAGGAGCAGGAACAGCTGTGGGGGAAGGGCAGGCCCAGCCATGCCACCACCCACAAACCTCCACTCAGATGGATGCATATGGCAGGGACTGACTGAGTGGGAGTGATGGGTTCATGGTAGGGAGACCCTGGGGGGCCGGTGGGGTGAGCACTCACCTGCAGGCATACTCCACTGTGTAGATGGCCCCCTGGCTCTGCTCCTCCCACCGCTGCATGTCCGCCTGCAGGGATGGGGTGTGATGAGGCGGCTATGTTGGGGGCACTCATGGGGGCTCTGAAGGCCTCTAGTCCAGGCCTTCCCTCCCTCTTCAGCTGGGGCTTCTGAGCCTCCGCCTCCGGCTTTGTACAGCTGTTCCCTTGGCCTGGCCCACCTCCTTCTCCAACCCCCACCTGTTTACTGGCTGGACCACCTGGGCCTCCTCACTGGAATCTCACTAGAGCCCCACCCCACCCCACCCTGGACCCTCCCGGCCACCCTCCTGCCCTATAGCGGGGTGGAGTGGCCAGGGGCCACAGTGGGTGGTGCTTACTTTGTGCTGGGCCAGCTCCGGCAGAGAGCGGCGTACGTGCTCCTGCAGGCGGTAGAGTGCCACAGAAGGCTCGTTGGCCAGCACGTACACGCTCTCGGTGAACTTGTCTGTGACTGCAGGGAGGGAGAAAGCACAGGGACACAACATCCGCATTACCCTTGGAGCGGAGTGTGGGGTGTGCCATCCTGCCAGCAGTGGGGTAACTGGAGCCCCAGCAGAGGACTGGAGGAGACTGTCACAGCAAGTCCTCCTGTGGTTTCCCCTTCCCAAATCCAAGTGAAATGCACTTGGATGCACCAGCGCGGCCCAGAGCCCTCAGCCCCCAGTTACGACTTCAGGGCATGCCATGGGGCCCAAAGCACCCAGGTGTTCATAGCCCTTACCCACAGCTGGAAACCCTGGGTGGGAGAGGCCAGGTCCAGCCCTCCCAAGCTCCTCTGTGGGATTTCACCTGAAGAGGAGCTTGTTCTACCTCCTCCTACCTTCCCAGCGATGGAGAGCTCCTGGCAAATGAATTATACAGAATCCTCAGGGTCTGCTTCGAAAAATGGCAATGTCCAGCCAGCCAGCATTCACCAGCCCGCCCGGTCCCACCCTTTCCCCAACTGTGATCAGACCATGCTGGTGCCACGAAATGAAGTCCAGATCATCACCCCTGCGCAGTACTCCACTACTTCCACTGGCCCTGGGCCTGTTATACCCAACCTGAGTGCCAGCCAGCCTCTTCCCCAGTCTCCCTACTTCCCCTCCCACGCCAAGGGTGCCACCTCCACGCAGCAAAATGAGCTCCTGACAACACACCAGATAGGTCCTGCCTTTGCTGGAAACCTCATCCTATAGCTCCCAACGATCAGAAAAGAAATATACATTGAGCTGCTAACCACAAAACAGTTCAAACGCACCAGCTACTCCGAGGGAGAAAGATGAAACTTTTTGCTCCTGTGAAGACTTAAAGCCTTGGAAACCCGAGGGAGTTCTACTCTCTAAGATGGCAGAGGGTGGGGTCCTTATCATTATCCATAAGGCACTGGATGGCCATCACTGCTGACCTCCTTGCCCTTGTCTCCTTCCACATCAGCCACAATAGCTGTCCCTCAAACACTACCAGCACTGCTCAAAAGGACGCTTTTAAATGATAGCAAGGTCCCTTAATCCGCCCTAAGACAGTAGCCACTAGCCACCGGTGCTTACTGAGCACCTGAAACTGATGGAGCGACTCAATTTTAACTGTGTTGCTGTCAGGCACCATCGAGCCAGCTCCAATGGACCCACAGCAACCACATGCACCACAGAAGGAAACACTGCCCGGTCCTGTACCAGCCTCATGATGGCTCCTATGCCTGAGCCCACTGATGCAGCCGCGGTGTCAAACCATTACACTGAGGACCTTGCTCTTTTGCGCCAGCCCTCCACTTTACCAAGCATGATGTCCTTCTCCAGACACTGGTCTCTCCTGACAGCATGTCCAACGCATGTAAGACCAAGTGTTGCCATCTTCGCCTCTAAGGAGCACTCCGGCCTTACGTCTTCCAATACAGATCGGTTTCTCCTTTTAACACTACCATGGTACTTTCAATATTCTTCTCCAGCACCACAATTCAAGTGCATCTATTTAATTTAAACTTGAACACATTTATGTGGCCAGTGGGAGATGGTATTTGCACAACTCCAAACAGTTCTCCACCCCAGGGCCTTTGTACCTGCTGTTCCCTCCTATGAGACACTTTCTGCCAGCCCTACTGGCTCCTCTTTATCCCTCAGGTCTCAGCTCCAAGAGATCCCTCCCAGGAGAGGCCCTCCTTGACTACTATGCCTAAAGAGATACTCCCTCCACTCTACTTGGCCTCAAGATCTTACATTCATTTCTATTCTGTGTATTTGCAAAAGCGATATGCTTCACGTGGGCAGGGACATCTCAGCCACAGCTTTCTCCTCTGTAAAAAGGGAGTGGCAAGAGTGGTCCCTCCAATAGTTCATGTTCTTGTCCAGTAACGCGTGTGCTTTAGACTCAAAGGAGACTGCGTGTGGATCTGCCCAGCTAACCATTGTGAAGACCCTCTTTTCTTTGTTTCAAAAACGAGGTGAGTGATCGACAGGTTTAAGTGGGAATCATATAGACTTCTGCTTTCTAAACAATCAGCAATAATTAACAATAAAAATAAAGACATGCAAAAAAATAAAAAAGACATGCATAGCTTACAAGTAAATTAAGGTAACTTACAAATTATTACTATGTGACTTGTAAACGTTGGGTAATCCGAGCACATACAAATGCGTAAACGTATAAACAAATTAAGCAAGAAAAGTAGCAATTTCACGCGCACTTTCCCATGCTTTGCAAATATCAAGTCGGTGAATTCTTACAAGACCCTGAGTAGTCTATTACTCTCTCCAGTTGACAGGTGTCAAAGCTGAGATACGGCGACTACTCAACGCGCCCATTGCCCCGCAGGCGCCCCTCCCACCCTTTCTCTGAGCGTGATCCCCACGCAGCCTCCTCTGTCCCGCCCGGGTCCCCGCACCACCTTTCTTCCCCTTGAGTTGCATCTCAGGTTCCTCCATCGCGTCCGCAGCCAAGTGAACCACAAACAGGAACCGGAAGTCGGGAGACGGGAACGTCGGCCTTAGTCGTCCCTCGCTGAAACCGGACACCGCGCAGGTCCAGTTCCGGTACCGTCGACGGGCTTCCTCCCTTCTCCGTCTCCTGAGGCAGGAGAGGAGCTGTGAGTGAGAAGAAGAGGAGACACGTTGTGGGTGGGTGGGGAGGAAGGGCAGACCCCTCGAACCTTAAGGAGGAACGCCCAGGCAGGAGGGCCAAGCGCCTCCTTTCCAGAACTCTCTTTCCTTGTGCAGAAGGGTTGGGGGCTGGGGGACACTGCACACACTATCCGACGCGGGCCGTGAGGTCGCTCTTGGGGCCCCTGCCGATACCAACCCCCTACACGTTTCCGGAGCCGCCTGGCCTGCAGGGGGTCATTCTTAGGGGCGCCGATAAAGGGTGCGTTGCTCCTTTAAGTCCTGGAGGCTCCGCCCACTTCTACCCTCCCGCCCAGTTGGGAAAGACTCCGCCCATCCTTCCAAAGTGAAGCCGGGGGGCGGGCTCCAAATCGAAAACCTCGGAGCCGAGCAGGATTTGACCGCGCAGGCTCAGTGAGATCCTCGGAGTCCCACGAGGCCCCGCCCACTCTTCCAGGCCGCAGGCGGCTAGAGCGCGCAGGCGCAACTGCAATCCTGGGGCGGGGGGTGGGGTGTCCCAGCAGAAGCCACGCCCCTTCCCCGAGATTTAAAGGGCCACAACCAGCTTCTGAAGCGCGAGGTTTTCCGCACTTTTGGGAGGCGGAGGTGCGCAGGCGCAGTGGGCCAGTTCTCGGGTGGGGGTAGTAGTCGCGTATCAAGTTGCTCTGTCCCGGCAGAAGCAGCCAGGTGCTGTGGGTCCGGCTTTTTCTCCTTGCATCAAGTGAAGGAGAAAAGTTTCTGAATTGAGCCCCCAAGTTTTGGGGGACCCTGGCTTGCGGTGCGGGGGGACAGAGGAGGCTCGTGGGGAGGTAAGTTTGCTTCCTCGATCAGGAAGGAAAGCGTGGGTGGGAGTAGGGTCAATCACATCGTTGTTAAGTCCTCGCTCGTGCCGGAGACCACTGGAGAACCCCCACCGCGAGCATTCCCTAAGCGCTGCCCGCGACTCGGCTGACTTTTTAGGCCTCGTTTCCCCATTTTATTGGCGAGGAAGCTGAAGCACAGAGGGCTTAAGGCGTGGATTCGGATTCTGTGCTTGGCAGGCGAGGTAATGCAACCCACAGTTTCACCCTTGTGTGCTGGGATTAGTATGGGGGAAGGGCACCCAAAGTAATTGGTCTCAGCCAGGCAATTAACCCGAACCTCAGTGTGTCTACCTTCGCAATGCAGGCTGGGTGTTGAGGTCTGTACCACATTCCCTAACTTCGTCCAGTCGACTGACTCAGAGCGACCCTCAAGGACAGAGCTGAACTGCCCCTTTGATTCGCAAGGCCATAATCTTTGCAGGATCAGAAAGCCTCATCATTTTCTCTAAGAGCAGCTTGTGGGTTCGAACTAAGGTCCTTGCAGTTAGCAACCCAACTAGCAATCTATCCCATGTCTCATCTCTCCTCTCTGCTACCCCAGCTTCCTGCATGGAGCCTGCTCAGCCAGCAGATGACCTCAGCCCAGCTCAGCTGCCTCCTGCCCTAGAGCCCGGGGACCCAGAAGACTCCAGGGATGAGAGCCCTGACAGCTCAGACACCGTGGTCCTTAGCCTCTTCCCCTGCACCCCGGAGCCTGGGAACCCTGATGTGGACACTGGGGTCCCCTCACCTCAGGGTAAGAGTCCTCCACTGGGTCCAACCCTCTGTGACTGATGTGCTTGCTATTGATAGGACTTGGTGGCAGCAACAGCACCTGTCTTTGCACCTGGGACATGTCCCAGCCGAGGGCTTCTTCACTGGCCGGTGTAACAAGTTCACTTTTTAAATCATGGTAAACTACCAAACCCATACTGATTGCCGAGTTGATGCCAACTCATAGTGATGTTACAGGGCAGGGTACAGGGACCCCTGTGAGTTGCTAAGACTCACTTTGTAGGAGTAGAAAACCCCATCCTTCTCCTGAGGTGGACTGGTGGTTTCGAACTGCTCACCTGGTGCTCAACTCCTAGCCACTACACCACCAGACTGTACAACTTTTAAAGTGAACATCCCAGTAACAATACTGTGCAGCCACCCACCCCCATCTAGATTCCAGAACATTTTCATCACCCCAGAATGGTATCCTGTGTGTGCTAGCACTCACCCGGGCCCCTGGCAGCCACCAATCCATTTCCGGTCCCTGCATTTGCCTGGCTGAACATTTCATGAAGGACTTTAGTGGTGCCATGGTTTAAGGGCTGAGCTGCTGTCATGCCTGCAATTCACACCCACTCTTGGCTTCCAGAAAGATGAGGCCGCCTGCTCCTGTAAAGATTGTCTTAGAAGCCCTGAGGAGCAGGGCTTCTCTGTCCTGTAGGGTCGCTAAGTCGCAGCTGGCAGCATGGCAGTGGGTTTGAGTGGCTGGTGGCCCTTTCGTCTGAGTGGAACCATACACCATGTGACCTTTTCTGTCAGCCTCGCACTCGGGGAGCTGTAATTCTGGAGGCCCGTCCATCGTGTTGCATTGCACATACCAGAACTTGGCTCTTCGTGGTCAAATCTCAGGGTCCCGTTGTTGGGGTGGGCCGCTTCCTGCTTATTTCTCCCTTTATTGATAGGCTTTTGGGTTGTTTCCATCTCTTGACTATTATGTGTAATACTGCCACAAAGATTTGTCTGAACACCTGTCTGCAATTCTTTTGGGTAGAGAATGAGGTGTAGAATTGCTGGGTCATCGGTCTAAATGGTCTACATTTAGCTGAGGGGCCAAAGATTTGAGTGGAGTCCTAGAACCTAATTCCGCCCACCCCAAGGCCTTTGCACTTGCCGGCCCCACTGCCGTGGCTGCTGCTCCCCTATCCTCTTCCCTGGTCCCTGAGTCTCAATCTCAGCCTCACCTCTCAGGCCCTTCCTGACCACCTCCTGTAAAACAGCCCTTCCCCCTACCTTTCTGTCACCTTACACGGGGTTTTTATTCCTTCTCAGCGCTAGTTCTATGTGCTGTTTTATTGTTTCTCTGCCGGGTTTACCCCCTTGCCCCTGAGAGCAGGCAGGGCCTTTGTCTTGTTCACCTGACACCTTACTTGGCTCAGAGAATATTCCCGCGAATGTGAGAAGGCGGGGCTGGGGCCAGTGAACAGCAAGAGATTTGCAGGCAAGGTCTTTGCTGAAGCCAAAACCCCAGGCAGGGTCCTCCCTACAGCCTGGGGACACTGAGGCCCCTCCTCTCTCTCCCAGCAGGCAGCTCCCTGAAGCACTCCACCACCCTCACCAACCGGCAGCGAGGGAATGAAGTTTCTGCCCTGCCGGCTACCCTGGACTGTGAGTAGGGGCTCAGGCACCCTGGGGGCTCAGCAAGGAGGTCTAAGAGGAGGCCCCTTGGACAGGGGTAAACTGAGGCCCAGGGAGGGGCATGGGACAGGTGAGGATTCCACATCCCCCGCCCCGCCCCTGACAGGGTTTTCTCTTCCTCTGGCCCCCCAGCCCTGTCCATCCACCAGCTCGCAGCCCAGGGGGAGCTGAGCCAGTTGAGGGAACACTTGAGGAAAGGTGTGTGTCCACATGGGGGAGTTGGTGTGTCAAGACCAGTCTGAACGCAAATGTGCCCACCCTTGGGTGCAGGGGTGACCTGGGTGTGTGTTGGTGGGTCCACAGGGGTGCTATGGCTACAGCCCTTCTATCTGTGTGCCTCTTCCCTCATGGTCTCTTGGGGCCTGACTCCCACCCCCCTGCCCCACCCCTCCAGGGGACAACCTAATCAACAAGCCAGATGAACATGGCTTCACCCCTCTCATCTGGGCCTCAGCCTTCGGCGAGATTGGAACTGTCCGCTTCCTGCTGGAGTGGGTGTGTGTGTCTGGGGCTTATGGGCCTGTGGGTAGGGGGCTTGGCTGGACCTGCTGGAGCCTGTAAAACGGGGCTGTGGGGTGGGGGAATCTAGGACTCCTCACTCTCCCATACGCTCCCCTGCTTCTCCCCTCCGCTCTGTGCCCCACTTTTCCTTTACCATCCTCTCATTTCCACCCCCACCCCCACATCCCGCTCTGCCCCCAGGGCGCCGACCCACACATCCTGGCCAAGGAGCGGGAGAGCGCCCTGTCCCTGGCCAGCACAGGAGGCTACACGGACATCGTGGGACTGCTGCTGGAGCGGGACGTGGATATCAACATCTACGACTGGGTGAGGGGCCACTCCCAGGCTCCCAGCCCGCCAGTCTCCTCGCCCGAGTTCCTGCCTCCCGACGTGGGCCAAAGCCCTGCTCTGGCAAGGCAGGCTCGGCCCTGAGCTCCAGTCTGAGGGGAGGCAGCCCAGTTAACAGGCAGCTCAGATGTGGCAGACAGTGCTGGGATGGGTGGTTCGGAGGCAGCTGCAGCGAGCCCCTAGGTGCCCCTCAGGAGAGGGAGAACAAGGAGGCCTTCCTGGAAGCAGGAACGTCACTCCCCACCCTCACAGAGGAGACACAGGTAGACATGTGACAAGTGAGGGCAGAGCCTAAGGAGTCCTGGTCATTGGCAAAAGTTAGAGCCTTATCTCTCCTCCCCAGAACGGAGGAACCCCCCTGCTGTATGCTGTACGGGGGAACCATGTGAAGTGTGTGGAGGCCTTGCTGGGTAAGCGAGACCCAGTACCCCACTTGGGGGACCCCTGGGGGGCAGGCTGATGGGGCTGGGTACTCCAGTTCAGAGCCTCAGGGACCCCGGAGGTGGGGATCCTGGTGGCTGCACTCACTGCCTAAGGCTCAGAGAGGACTGTTACTCAGGGCTGTGGGCAAAGGCAGGCGATGGCTGCATGCTGGGGAGCACCTGGGCCTCTGGAGCCCCATTCTAGGCTCCTGCCCCTTGGTGGGAGTTGGCTTCAACTCTCCCCCCAGATGTGCACCTTGCATCCCCATCGAGTGCCCCACCATCAAGCAGCTCCATCTTGACTCCACACCAGCCCCCGATCCAGTACCCCACCAGCCCCTTCTGTGCCCTCCTCCAGCGCCCCCTCCACAGTGCACCTGACGTGGCCCCTCCTCATCCCACACTCCTCTCAGTAGCTCTCCTTTCTGTCCCCCAACCAGTCACCTTTGGCCCCTGCTAGCATCCCTCTAGTCTCTAGCCTTCAGGCTGCCACCCTCCTCCTCTGCTCTGCCTCTAGCCCGAGGAGCTGATCTCACCACGGAGGCTGACTCTGGCTACACACCCATGGACCTCGCCGTGGCCCTGGGGTATCGCAAAGGTTGGTCTCAGGCACCTGGGCAGTGATGGAATGGAATGCTGTAGGTGGATAATCACCAAGAGGGGTGTATGGGACCCCCTCACCTTTTCATCAAAATCACGACCCGTCATTTTGGCTTGCTAAGAAATAACCTTTAAAGCTTTAAAAACTCGCCAAGGGTGAGAGCATCCTTAAAAGCTCGAGAGAAGGCTTGCACAGTCCAGGTGTAAGCTAGGAAGAGGTGGGATGGAGTCCGCGGAACCACCAGGGCCTGGGGGCTAGAAGACCCCATTGTCCACTCCCTAAGGGGCAGGTGCAGCTGGTGGGGCCTGGAAGCCCCCACCTCAGCTCCTGTCCCTGTCTTTGTCCCCAGTGCAACAGGTGATCGAGAACCACATTCTCAAGCTTTTCCAGAGGGACCTTGTGCCCGCTGACCCCGAGTGATGGCCACCACCTGGGACTCGGACACTCAGGGAACAAACCAGGCAGCCCAGAGCCGGAGCCACCCAGCTGGCTTCAGAGGCAGCTCCAGCTCTCCAGCAGGGGAGATGAGGCTGGACAGTGGTGGGAGGGGGCGGTCTCAAGAGGAACCAATAAAACTTCTTTGCAAAACTCCATGGCTTGGCTGCTTGGTCATGCTCCCCTGGGGGCTTCCTGACAGAGGCAGCCTCACACCTTCTCTCCCAGCACCCGAAGGTGGTAGATGACCACCCGACCAAAGAAGTCAGCCATGTCCTCGAAGGTCACCTTCAGCCGGGCCACCTCAGTGGTTGGCACAGGAAAGGTCTGAGGACAGCAGTCAAGGGAAATCTGCCTCTATTTACCACCCCCCTGGAACTCCCCAGTCCTCCCAGGTCCCAGCCATCAGCCCTGGCTCCCTTACCACCACCATGCTGGGTGGCCTAGGGCCCTGAGCCTCAAGCAAAACCGGCCCCATTTTGCAGAGGAAGCTGCGAGAATGTAAGCCTTGTGCTTGGGCCACTTCCCAGTCTGAGGTGCAGATTGCCTCCCACCTCACCAGCAGCCTCCCCACCCACCACCTCACAGGATATCTGAAGGGAGTTGTTGTCCTCAGGGTAGAAGTCCACAATCTTGCAAAGCGCCTCGCTGCCCTGTGAGCCTGCATCACAGAAAAAGGCACACGGTGGGCCTAGGTAGGAGGCCCTCCAGGGCCCGCACCCCAGGGCCTTCAGTACCTTCCAGGCGGCCCCGGCGACTTGAGAAGCCCCCCTGGAACTGGATCTGCAGCTGGGAGATGCGGACGCACTGGGGGAACTCAAGCGTCACCCACTGGCAGGGGCCCTAGAAGCAGATGGGGAAACAGGCTGGAGACCACCCCCCTAGCCTCTGCACCAACTTGGTCACACAGCCCCCAGGGTCAGATTCAGACTGGGTTGAGGATCCAGGGAGCTGCTTCACCTGGTCTGAGTTCCAGCAGGTCTCCTCCTCCTGGTCGAACAGGTGTTTCTTCCCAAACTGCCGGGCGTTGCGATTCAGCACGGAGCTCACCCTGAAGAGGGCACCAGAGGCAGGGCTCCAAGAACTGCCCACGTAGGGACTCGGACCCCACCCACCCCCAGTCGAGGGCGCGCCCCAGACTCACCTGCTCACGGTCTCTGGACAAACCAAAGAGTGGGACATCTTGGCTTCGCCAGCCTGCGCAGGGCTCAAAAGTCAAGGTGCTCACCTGTGACCTGAGTCCAGACCGCCACTTCCGCCTGCCCACCCCTCTGATGCCAAATGTCTCCGTTATCACCACCCCCTTGGCCGAGAAAATTGGGTACACTGTCAATGCCCAGGGCCAGGGTCTTTCCACACCGGGTGCAAAGATGGAAAACCCTTTTCCCACGGCTTTGGGACGCGGTCACCCCTTCTCCTGGAACTACAGTCCTGCGGAAGCACCGAGACACAAAAGCTGGAAGCCGGAGGCGCGTGGACGCTGCGCAGGCGCAGTGAGACGCGCGGCTCCGCCCCGCCGCCGTTTCTAGGGGCAGGCTCTTACCTGGCCCCGCCCTCCCACGGCCTCCTCTTAAAGGGCCCACGTAGTGATTCCTGGAGCTGCTGTAAGGACCTCTGTGCTGTAATTGGTTTCGCTTTGGTCTGCTACCTCGAGGAGATAGATGAGGCTCTTTACAGCCTCGGGAACCCTAGGGAGCAGTTCTGAGCTGCCTTAATAGAGTCGCCATGAGCTGGAAAGGATTCGATGGCAGTATTTCTTGGCTTGCAGCTGGAAAATGAAGACCAATACCAAAAGGCACTAGTGCCCACTACATGCAGAAGAAACTAGTGGATGTTTCTTGGTGGCCCATACGGCACACTGGTTTTGCTGTTTGAGAGATTTCCTACAATGGGTTCTGCCTAATTAGGGAAATCTGCCAAATTCATTTGCATACTGCTAAATGCAGCCTTCAGGAGACCTGGTAGTGTAGTGGGTTACACATCGACCTGCTTACCCTCAAGGTCAGCAGTTTGAAACCACCAGCCCCTCCTGGGGAGACAGACAAGCCTTTCCACTCCCATAAAGAGTTAAGGTTTCAAAAACCCACAGGAGGATTGCTAAGGGTCACTGTCCACTCCACGGCAGTGAGTTGGATTTTGTTTGGAATGCAGCCTGCTATCGGCTATACCTCACTGCCTTCCAGAGACCAAAGGAGTGCTGAGGACGAGGCCACCATGCTGGAGTACAAGGAATCCTCCCTGGGACAGAAGAGACCCAGCCTCCAATTCTGTCTTTCCTACTAATGCTGCCTGGATCACCACGGAAGCCTTCTTGGGGGAGGGGGAATATGAAATGGGTTTTGAAGGATGAACAGAAGTCCACCAAGCCAGATCCCACAAATTCTAGGACACCGGCTACTACACATTTGGTTCAGTGGTTCACTAAACATCTTCTGCCACCTAGCCATGCTTTGTGCCAGTCCTTTACATCCCTGGGATGCATGGCGATGGGGGTAGTGGGAGTCCTCAGCCCCAGGCCAGTGCCTGATGAGCCCACAATCTGGAGAAGACAAAACTAGATACAGACATTCCTAGCCCTAAGAGGTTAGGGCTGGAACAGAGGGGGAAATGGAAGTGAGGCAAGGGGCCTGGGGGGACTCTACCTGGAGGGAGGGCTTCCTGGAAGCAGCAGCTGCCCAATGGCTTGCTGGGTCCTTTTGGTGTTGGTCTTCATTTTCCTGCAGCAAAGCCAGGAAATACTGTCATCGGTCCTCCCCTAATGGCAGGAGTTAGTCCGGGTGAGAGCACTGAGACTGTTCCAGGCAGAAACAAGCAAGGGTCTACATGGGTGAGAGACCATGAATCAGAATGAGATGTGTGGAGCCAGATCCCGCTGGGCCCGGAGGAGCCGTGGAAGGTGCTTGAGGAAGGCGGGACACCTTCCGATCTGCATGAATGGAGGGGGTCTGAGACAGCGCAGCCTCTAACCGGAGGCTGCAGTTCCTGGCTTCAATTGAATGACCAGGACCCAGCCCCTTCTTTCAAGGGCTGGGGAAAGCCGATCTCGGCATCCAACCAATGTCTGCCCCAACCCACCCTTGGGGAGGGGGCTGCCTGGGAAAGTGGGTCCCCAGCGGAAGGCCCTGCTCCATCTCACCCTGCTGCCAGGACTTCCTGCATCCGACATGGGGTGGTGCCATCCAGACCTGACTAACCTGGTGCCAGGGCTGGCACTGGGATGGCAATACATGTATCCCTCCCCCTGCCCCCAGAGGCAGCTAGAAGAGCGTGAACCCTGGAGGGGCCAGATCTGGTTCCAGTCCTAGTTCAGCCACTGGATGCCTTCATGGTCTTGGACAAGCGTCTGGACCTCTCTGGGCCTCAGTTTCATTATCTGTAGAGTGGGGGCAGTTCTCTTTACAGGATTGTCCCAGGATTCCATGCAGGGGCTTTTCTGGAAGACACACAACAGCTGGGGTGATGCTTGCTGAGAGATTGCTGGGGTAGCCCTTTGGGATCACTTTTGTTTCCACTCACTAGCTCATGGACCCCGCAGTGGCAAGGATTCAGGGACCAGGCCAAAGTCCCAGTGAGGGTATGCAGGGCCCCCACAGCCCTCTCCACCACTCCCAGCCTTGGCAAGGGGCCCCCTCAGCACTGGGAGGAGGCCAGCTCCGGACCCTCTTCCTGCCTCCTCACCCCCCTTGGCTCCCAGGCATGAAAGAGCCTCCTGTTTCTCCAGGGAATTAAGGACTCCAGGCTCCCAGCGGGGCAGCCAGAAGTGACTCATTCATTTGCCTGGATGGATGAGGAGCCAAGCCACCCTCCCCCTCCTGTACCATGGACATGGGGAGCTCCAGAAGGGTCAGCAGAGGCTCTTCTGTTTCATGGGGGTGGGTAGGGACTGAGGCACTGCGGAATAAAGTCACATGGTCAAGGTCGTCACCTGGGAGAGACTGGGATTCGAACTCCAGTCTGATTCAAGGATTCCCTCTGCTAGGTTGAGCTTTATACTTTTCTGGGAGAGAAATAGAGGCTCAGAGAGGACCAGCCACTTGCTGGAAGCCAGACAACAAGTTTGGGTAGCGAGGATGCTCCAGTCAGCTGATTCGGGGGCAGGCTACCACTGTCCCTGTACCTAACCTCTTCAAGCTGGGGGGGGAGGGGGCACGGGAAAGGCTCTTGGAAATCTTCAAGCCTGTTTCCCCCCTGGGGGTGGGGGTGATCATTGCCCCGTGGTCTCAGTCTCAGTGAAGGAGTATGGGGAAGGCTGTGACAGTTCCCCAGCTTAAAGTAAACAGTTTGGGGAGATGGCCCTGGCTGCAGGCAAGGTGATTCTGTGGACATGGGGGTGATACATGAGTGTGAGGTGTGTGACAGGTCGGTGGAGTGTTGCTGCGTGTGGTGCGGCTGTGCTATGCTTATGTGACTGGGAGTGACCACGTGATGGACACTGGGTGTCCACGGGCCGAGGTTGTGTGGGAGTACCCTACAGATAGGGCCACACTGTCACCATGGCTATGAGAGAGCAGCGTGGTGTCTGGGGGTGGCGAGTGTGGTTGGTGAGGGAAGTGTGAGTGTGGAGGGACTTGTGCTCACAGTTTCAGGGTTGCTTGTGTGCAGGGCCATGCCTGTGTCTGGATGCAGATGTATGTGAAGCCTACATGCCGTTGCGGTGTGACTAGGCGTGTGACTGAGTGTCGGTGCTTGTGAATGACATTGTGTGTGACAGATGTGAATGTAGATGAGCGTGTCAGAGGCCCTCAGAGCCACACTGTCCACCCTGAGACCCAGCTTTCCTTCAGTTCTGGCCACCAACCCCTTCCCCCATCGCCTCCCCTGCAGCCGCTCCTAGCAGAGGCCCCAGTGCAGGGAACACGGTAGAGATCAAGGGCTAGTGGGGGGAGGACTGGGCAAATCCCAGTGTCTATAAATAGTTCTTTGAACCCAGCAGATTCCCAGGCTGGTCCCCGCTATTCAAGCCCCCGGCAACAGCCCGCCCTGGGCCCCCAGCCAGAGCCTCGGAGCCCAGCCCTGGCGCCAGCCTTGGCAGGAAGGGGGGCAGCTGTTTCTGTGGTCGCAGACAGGGTGGGGGGTGCTGTCACCTCACAAGTGCTTCTCCCCCAGAGCCTCAGTTTCCCCAGTCAGAAAATGGGCTGTGGACTGACTGTGCAGCTCATTCTCCCAACAGACCCTCTGAGGGGAGAATGCTTCCTGATCCATATTTTACACGGAAAACCGAGGCTCAGCGAGGTCAGTGGCTCACCCAGAGACACACTGCTACGAGGGGCAGAAGGGTTTGAACCCTGGGCTTGTAGAGGCTGAGCCATTGGGTTCCGACACACAGCTACACAATTACACACAGCTACACAACCATGCACACTCACACAACCACACAGCCACACAGCTACCTACCCTTACAACCACACACAAACACACAAGGTCACAATCATGCCCATTCACCCAGCCACACATATCCCACAACCTCACCACCACAAAACCCTACAGTCACCCATAACCACACAGCTACACCCGTTACCCCAACACACGTCCCAGAGCCACGCTCAGTCACACGACCTCACAAACCCATGCACTCAAGCAGTCAATAACCACAGTTAGCATGTCACCTCCCCCTCCCACCAGCCACAGTCAGGGGGCTACTGTGACCTGTGTCCAGGTGTTTTGTTTTTTTATTGTTATTAGGTCGCGCTCAATTTCACAGCACATTCAGTTCACCACCTGAGCTGTCGGGAAGGGCAGGCTTCAGCGGCAGTTAGTACATTTCACAATGACATGCCAGCCATGACCTTTGCCTAGTTCCAGAGCATTCACATCACTCCGAGAGGAAACTCGGGGCTCGTTAACAGTCATCTCCCTCCTTGCTCCCCTAGACCCACTTCCTGTCTCTGTGGATGGGCCTGTACGGGAACATGACGCACATGCAGAATTGTGCAGTCGGTTGGTGGCCTTTCCTTGGGCCTTCTCTCCCTGACCATCCTGTTTGGTGGGCTCGTCCATCTTGTAGCGCGCACGTGTGTGCGGGTTAGCCCTTCGTTCCTTGTTATTAACTGTTGTAAAATACATAGGGAATGCCACATTTGCCTATCCAGCACTTTCCGCGTGTCTAATTCAGGGAGCTCAGTTGCCTCAGCCCTGTTGTGCGGCAGCCCCCAGTGCCCTCTGCCAACGGCTCCCTCCTCATACACAGCAATGCTTTGCTTCTCGAACAATTCCTACCCTGCCCCACCCTCCTCTCCCCAATACACTTCCCTGCTTTTGAGGGTAGAGGTGTGGACCTCCACTTGTCTACCTTTTGGGCATGCTAACAGGATGAAGGCATGCACAAGATGCTAAGTTTGGGCTACCACTGGGTGGAAACAGCTCTTGGGAGTGGCAGACTCTGCGGGCCTCTTACCAGCTGGGTGACAGGGGTGTCCCTACCGGCACCCTCTGGGAACCTCTTCAACCCTGCGAGTGTCTGAACCGACTGTCATCCAGTCCAAGCGACTCACAGGGCGACCCCATGTGTGTCCAAATGGCACTGTGCTCCGGAGCGTGTCCGATGGCTGATTCTGCAGAAGTAGCTCACCAGGGCTTGTTTCTGCGGCACCGCTGCATGAACGAGAACCTTCAACCTTCCCAGTCAGCAGCCTAGTGCAGCCGCTGTTCGCACAACCCAGGGGAATTGTCCTGAGCTATAAACCGGGGGGTGGGGGGAGCAAAAGGGAATCGCAGCCTAAACTCCTGGGAGCGTGAGCCCTGAAGTGCCCGCAGGCCAACGTCCAAGGGCCGTTCTGCCCTTTCTTCTGTGTGACCTTGGGAAGCCACTTGGCCTCCCCAGCCTCAGTTTCCCCACCTGTAAAATGGCCCTATCCCGAACCTGCCGGGGACGATGAGCGCTGCTCCTAGCGCAGATGGGATGGGGGAAACCAGACCCGGCCTCCCTCCGGGTGGGGTGAGTGGTTGGAGGGGGCATTTTGAGCAGCGGAGCCCCCTTCTTCGCAGCGCCGCGAACGCCGGGCGGGCGGGGGGCGCATGCGCAGCACAGCCCCGCAGCCCCTTTATAAGCCGCTGAGGCGGCGCTGGGGCGAGCGGAGCGCAGGGCTCGGAGCTGGACCCTGCGCCGAGCGAGCGGAGCCCAGCGTCCTTTGTGCGGGCGGTAGCCCCGGGGATGAACCCGAGCTAGGAACCAGGTGGGGCTCCCCGTGGGGCATGGGGACCCCGGGATGGGAGACCGCCCTCTGGATTGGGGAGGAGGCCTGGGATCAAGGGAAAGCTCCTGGGCTGGGGAGGGGGCTAGCGG